TTCACATTGAACAAATGCGCAGTTTCCATAACATGCATTACATTTGCCGTGTCTCGATCCATGCAATCGCTGAATGGGCTCGAGCAGAGTATCACTTCAAGGTATGATTAGTTTAATAGATGGAAAGATAAGTAAATAGGATGAACTTAATGTGATTATACACTTTCTATTAGCTTCCGATACCTGCATCGTTCAAGCAACGACTGACGGAAGCTCTCCCAATTTATGGGAGATTAATGCTCAATCTGGAGAAGAAGCATCGAGATCTGTGTGACCTCGATGACGCATGTCCTGCATGCAGATATGCGGTATGTTTCTAATTTGTGTGCTGTGAAACAATTATCTATATTAAGGAGTTAAACATGTCGAGCGTTTGTTTTAGTCTGGTCCCAAGATCATAGCTGGGGATGGAAACCAGTCGCTACGTCGGTTTGCTAAGACAAAGGATCCGAAGGAAGTCGCCTTTGAAGGCCAAGAGGAAGTCGATCGCCCGTGGGTCAAGCCGGAGCAACTCATAAAATATGAGAGTTCGGTATGCAACTTTTGTATAAAGAAGCATGCATCTAAACTAATTTTTTACTCCCAGGCAACCGATGGATGTGAGACTTGGCAGGCTCTAAATTCAAAGAAGAGAGGAAAAGCAAGCCATCTCGACCAAACCGGAGCATTCGCGTGTACGTGTGGTCATGGTCATCCAGTGGCCATCATCGATATGAATACGCCAGGCGAACAGTGAGTTTCTCGAAGTATACATTTAAAGTATCAGGTCTTACTTTAACCGATGTCAAATGATACTAGATACACGTACATGCTTAGCTGTCTACAGAAGGTGATCGACTTACCCCTTTACGGATCAAACATCCGCATCATGTACGATGTCGGTTGCAAGCTTCGTCCTGCTCTGCAGGTAATCTTCGATTCTGAAATACCATACACTGCAAACCTATCAGCGGTAACATATCTCTCTTTTTTTATTTCTTATTACCAGAGAACCGATCGTCTACACAGCATTAAGGATGTTGACATTGCTGTCGGCATTTTTCATATAACCGGGCATAATCCCGAATGCCAAATCCATTTTCACCCTCGTTTGAAGACAGGATTTGGATTGCAAGACGGCGAACATCTGGAAAGACTCTGGTCATTCCTCAACGGATTTGTATCCATGACACGACATATGTCGTCTCTCAACAGACGACTCACACTAACCATTGCTCTTAATTTTTATGCGCAGCAAAAGAATGACAATTTAGGTATATCAATCATCCTAACATGTCGATTTGCAGATCATCCACTAAATGATTGCTTTTGCAGGTCAATACATCCGCCGCAGATACGTCCGCACGATCAAGCTCAAAGAAAACGCATTAGAAGCTCTAAGAAAGGCTGGCATTGATGTCAATGATGAAGAAGCGATGAAAGAGATGGAAGAAAAGTGGTATAGACACGTCGCTGAATCGAGAAGAAGGAACGCCGAAAAAGATGGCAGCAGCAGATTTGCTCAAACATGCAGAGCTATAGAGAATTTGCGTGTTGCTATTGCTATCTATGATATTATTAATCAAGCTTTCAAACACCAAGGCAATGGTAACATCTTTGATCAGCTCGATCGAGTAAAGACAAACTCATCTGAGATATTGTCTTTGTAGGCCACAACCAGACGCAGAATCTCGCAGGCCAAAGACAAGCAGCGCGAAATCAAATTGAAAAGCGCCTCATAACATACAACACGAAGATCAATGCCGGACCTATTTTTGGTACGTGTTATATCTTCGCATCATACAGCATGACCGACTTTAACAAATGACTAACGCTATATGCAGGCTTCGAAGATTATGGTAACGATATCAATGCAGTACTTCGAAAAGACAGTCATTTACGTTTTCGCATGAACATCATTTGCACCGTTGAGGATAACGCACCATACGACGCTTTCCATGGTTTGCAAAGAGCAAACGAAGAACTTGCTTTTTTGAAGGTATGGAAATTTTGCTTGACTTAATTTGCCGGTAATGTTAATGCACAGATTTATGGACCGCTATTAGGACGAAGCCGCTTCTGTGTTAAAGTATGGACAAGCTGCTATTGATAAGCTCGAAATGGCTATCAACGCAGCCGTAACTGTGCCATACAATTTGGAAGCGTGTTATGGCCAGATCGGTTTGATCCAAATGTGGAAACGCAAGTTGGAGCGTGCCAAGTCTTGGCAAAGAGAACAAGCGAAACAATTGGCCGTAATTCTTGATTCTACCGAGGCTAACCCAGGATCCTTGTCGCTGCTTCGTAATGCTGCTGGTACGGAAGAAGAAGACTTGGAAGAAGAAGAAGAGGAGACAAATGTGGAGGTGCTAGACCCTACAAAGATAGCCGATGAAGTTGAAGACGAGGAATGGGAAGTTGATCCAACTCTATTTGGAGACGGAATTCCGGTTGAGGATGCACCAACCTCGTCCGCTCAGTAAACACAACTCGCAACCTTTTTTCTATTTGCTTACGATAGACAAGAATATGGATATGTAACAATGGTGCTATGATTAAGCTCAAGTGCTATGTATGCTAACAAGCATTATATTTAGTTGGTTTTCTTCACAATCAAGCTCATCGGGGATCGCATCTAACAATCGGCCATATTTGTGACAACGGATGTAAAGTCTAACTTAGCTACCGGTTACTATATGATATACAAGAGGGAATCTGAATCCTGGTTTAAAATGAGGTTAGCCAGCTCTTTTTACTAGAATCTATATGCTCGGTGATCAACCGATGAAGGGAAAAGCTAAGTGCAGTACTTCTTATATGCATCACCTTTTTTACTTGATAAATAAATGTGAACAATGTGTTACTACTTCGGTTATGCTTTCTTCAATGCTGATTATTGTAAGGGATTAAGCTATTAAAATCAATGCTTCCTTTTGATATGTTGAAAAGCCTTGATGGAAGGATTTGTATCATTGATGTAACTTAATAATTTGCCGAGTAGATCATCAAACAAGTATTGTCTATGTGAGCATGAGCAAACATCATTATTAAAAGTCTTCGTACTCTACTTCATGTTGATCATCTTCACTAACACTACTATGGCCGCTTCCACCTTCAGAGCTGCTATGAGCTGTTTCCTCGCCTACATCTTCTTCTTCTTCTTCGTATCGACGTCCTCTGAGTTTTTTATTACCGGTGGACTCAATGCGCAACAGCACTGGTTCCAAATCGTTTTCGAGAAGGAACCTCCATTCATCGGGTCTTGGGACGTTTTTCTTAAAGAGGCCCCTCTCTTCATCTTCATCGTCGGTGATCGTCCCGAGATTGATAATGCTCTCGTCGCTATGGCTTGAGCGCAACAGAAAAGGGTTTCCAACCCAACGGAAAGCTCTAAATTTAGGCCCATGGTCAGCAAGAAATCGAGGGCAAGTTGCTTTCAAAGCGTCTCTGACAGCAGCATTCACATCCATGATCTCGGACACAGAGAGCTGTTCGTATTCCTTCTCTGCTTCTTGCATAAAAATGTTGTCGAAAAATTGGTTCTTTGTCGGATCCAAAACAGTGCGACCTTCTGCTGCGCACAAAGAGTAGACGCAATATTTCCAGGAGGATCCGAACTTGCTTTGATACTCTTGGATTGTACAATGGAATTCAATTCGCTCAATAGCAACTTCAACAGCATCGAGTAGCTTTAAATAAGCTCGTTGCCGTTGGAATTCGCCCATCACCAGCAGCTCCATGAACATTTTTGAAGCAGCGGCATCTCGTCGTTGTATCGTCTTTTTGGCCTTGTCAGTGGGAGCATACTTCTTTGAGTTCTCCCATTTTGTGTGCCTTTGCCTTTTTGCTGACACTGTTGATGGCGGACCTGGACGCTTTTTTTCAAGCTTCATTCCATGGCACTTTGTCATGTGCTTTCTGAAGGCGTCTTCAGTGGCATAGTGCTTGGAATGCTTGATGCAATAGTTTTGCAAAGGAAAGTTGATAGGGCGGAATTTGTCAGAGTACCATGTCAAAGTTGGCGTTCCAGGGGTCATGGACGCGCGACGTGGTCTACCCTGCTGGGGTGGCGGAGGAAGGGTTGGAGTGATGAAGCTGGTGTCGTTAAAGGAGTATTTTTCGCTGTGTCATGGTTAGTTTGCTTAATACGATGAAGAATGTGATATAACTACGGTGCCGTTTTCTAGAAACATACGCAGAAGACTCGGGCATGGTTTTAGCAAAAACGATTTTACAGGTGAAAAAGATTAAGGGACATACACGACACAAAAAAAAAAAGGCTTTTCTTTTTTGCTACTCTTGAGCCATCTCCGAATGAACCTACACGATGATCATAGCCTTTTATAGCTGGTAAAGAACCTGATTAGCACCCAGTTAAGAATACAGTATCCATTGCGGTAAGTGGCGAAAAGTGCGAAGTGGTTTTCGATATACCAACCGTTGTCAGCATCATATTATGCAACCTAATCTGCCAGGCTAGATTACTGTAACGACGAAGATGCATGTGGCTGTTGGACAGCCTAGGTCCCACAACCACAGTAGAACAATCCGTCTGGGTTGCACATCTGTGACGAACCCGTTTGGCTGGGTTGCGCAACTACAGTCAGAACCATCCGTCTGAGTTGCGCATCTGTGACAGACCCGTCTGGCTGGGTTGCGCAACTCTGACTGAACCATCCGTATGGGTTGCAGATCCATCTGTCTACATTGCGTACCTGCAGATGCATCCAATTGTGCAAACTAATTAATATTATGGCTATGTACTATCTATTTCTCTCTTCCACATAGTTGAATGAGCATAATGCATTACTGTACTTTTATTTTTATTTAGTTAACATAACAGATAATAACGTAATAATAGGTTGTGTACGATAAATTAAGGCACGATATTTTATATCTCACGAGGAAGTAAAGACTAAGCGTTAAAAGCAATCTGCAAAGCAACTTTCAAACTTTTAGTTCGTACCCTTGTTTGTTGACTTGAATGATAAATGAAGCTTGAAATGAGAAGGTTAAGTTGCCCGACACTCTTCTCAAGATTAAAGTAAATGCATCTGTATAGCTTTTTCCCACTGCAAATAAGTATATACAGATTTAAAAATATATCTAAAAAATATATGAATAACAATACTTTCTCTATAGTAAAGCCGTTCCCGTTCAGAATTATTAAGCTATAATTGCTAAAAGTTTTTCTTATTAGATAGCTTCTTTAAGTACAGTACAGTACTGCTAAAAATACGACCATCACTTTTTATATAACTATCCAACAGACCCAGACAAAGATAAACATTATTACAATGTAAGTGATCACTTCTGATTGTTTCATTGATAAAGTTATCTATTATATTTAACGTAAGCTAGGTTCCTAGCAACCAAGCCAGATGGGTCTGTTATGGATGCACAAACTAGGCGGATGGTTCTGCTGTGGTTGCGCACCTCAGACGGATGGTTCAGTCTGAGTTGCGCATCTGTGACAGCTCCATCTGGCTGGGTTGCGCAACTCAGACGGATGGTTCTGACTGTAGTAGCGCAACCCAGCCATACGGGTCTGTCACAGATGCGCAACTTAGACGGATGGTTCTGCTGTGGTTGCATAACGCAAACAGTTGGATCTGTTATAGTTGCATTTATATAAACGAGTCAGACACATTGATGCAGCTGTGTATGAGTAAATGCAACAACTTGTTTCTAGGGCTCTAAATTTGAGCAATGCATCGTGTTAAGGCAGAAACGGTTGGTCAAGGTGCTGGTTTTATTCCTGACAGGTATTGCTAAACGGGTGTGGGGCTGGGCCCATTCTCAATAAGATAGTATATAATAATATTGATTGATAGTAAAGACAAAAATGTACACTGTACAGTGACTGATCTTCTCAAATGGCCTATATAGGCAATCAAAGCATTGGCCAGTTCTATGTTTTCTTCACGTTTAAAAAAATGAAGAAACTCTTTGTATCTCGGTTGTGAAATAATCTTATCGATACAGAATGAGATACACACACAGTTTAAAACGGTCGAACCGTTGGTTTACAGTTCAGGATACAGATCCCTTCTGGAAAGGTTTTATCTGTCGCTACTTCGCAACTGTGGATCAAAGATACTGGCATTAACGGTCGAGCGCCCAGTTATCCTAGCTGAACTATTTAAGGTGATTAAAGCATTAATGCCCATAATTTTAGTTATTATTGTTTATTCGATTTCGTTTAAGCATGAGTATAGGAGTTTTACCAGTTTAGCGTCGCCTTTTATTTTACACAGTTCTCGTTCTTATTGGGAGTGATCTCACGTACAGACAATACAGGCAACAGCTGCTCTTGTTTACTTCTAAGTGCCAGGTGAAGGTCCCATAATAAAAAGACCATCGTTTTTCCATCAGCTTGGTTTTGTTCTAACTTCACGTCTGTTGCAGTAGAGAAAATGGAACGAACTGTTGCTGTAACATTTCTTATACAAACAACTGAGAGGCACCAGAGTTGGTCTTTCATAAAATGCAAATGAAGGAGCTATAATTAGCACTATATATCTGGAAGCTGCCCAGTGTTATCAGGTTCATCTTCGAACACGTTGAATAGGTATTGTAGCGTCTTCGCTTATATAACACTGGGAAAAACGTTGTGTGTTAAACTTTTAAAAATGCTTGAATATTAGCTGATATTCAACTAGTATTCGACTGATATTAAGAGTCATAAATCCCGATAAAGAGGAAGGAAGAAGATATAAGTAAAAGTGGATATAACTGGTGGATATGCTTAATTATTAGTTAAAATAGAAAGGATAAGTGTGGGAATTCAACAACTAGGAATTACTACTTGTGTAATCATAGAAGATAAACCTTTCGTTAAGATAAAAAGGTAACGTTAAATGAAAAAGATACTAAAGAACTGAACTATTTACCTATTTATAAAGTACATACAGTAATACAGTAGTGACTATTATCTTACGAGGAAAACCCAATCTGATTGCATCTTGCTAATTATTGTTGCAGCAGTGTGTGTCAATCAGATTATAGCAGTGCTTGTACATGGAGCAGCGTTTGCTCGTGAAGCAGTTCACAAATCTATTAAGTAAATATCAGAATCTATTACAATGATTATAGTAAACAGATTTGAGCTTACCCAAATAGATGACAACAGGAGATAGTTCATTTGTATAGTATGATAAACAAATAATTGAGTTATTTGAGAGTGGGGGACAGCAGCATGATGCTGGTAAGTTATAGTGTGACGTTTGAGTGTGAGAGCAAATGTACGTATGTACTTTATAAATCAAGCGTACGAATCTTTCTATATAAATCGTTGACTCTATGTATCATACCGTCAGCGTAGACAGCTAGTAATACTGTATGTAAGCTACAGAGCGATTTGATCTTTTCTTCTAGGCGCAACCAGCAAAAATACTTCTCATACCCTAAAAGTGATTGCAAACCATTTTAAATCTTCTATAGATGCGCCTTGAGCTCGTCTTTACGAAGTTGCTGTTTTGCTTAATATGCATGTACGAGCTTAAGCCTTAAAGCAATATACAGCCGCCCGAAATAAACAAAGAAATACAGGAGCAACAAGAGCGTGTATGCTGTTTAACGGGGGAAGCCAAAAATGGCATGGACGACGATCGAGCATTTCAAAACGTCGCCAGACAAAAATGCTCTTGGTATCACTGATTGATTTTGAAGACGTCAGTAGTTTCATAGTAGTTGCAGCAGGGAAATGAAGCCGCAGAAATATATCGATGTCTTATAACAATGAGAGATTTGAGGTTGTACCATAACCATAGATAGCTATGATACCCCGGTCTCTTTGCTCGTTTTACTTATCATATAGTAATATAAACCCACAAAATAGATAGGACGTATATAGCCTCAGATATCCTTTATGAAGAAGATGCAAGTACAATTGTGGTATTAAAGTATGTCACTCGAGACATATACAAACTAAAAATAATAACTCATATTCCACTAGATTAAGTTTTTCGCTAGCTGCTATTATATCATTGCTTACCGCTTAATTATATATTTTAACCTACCAGAGAAACGCCATACATTGGAGTCTAAGTATTACCGTGATACCATACTCTCACAAAAACCTTCATGGCGTCTACGTAAAACCAATAGACAAAGCAACCTATTGATCCGGATTGTCAGTCGTAAATATGTAGTATATATATTAAGCGATCTTAAAAGGATTTTCCTTATTTAGTGCTGCTGCTGTTGTTGCTGTCTTGGTGCTAGCACGAATCGAATGTTGTTCAAACATCCAGCAAGCTCAAATTTCGCATGTCGGGACAAACGAGAAGGATGATCGCGCGGAATATCCGGCCATCCTTCCATGACAATATCCTCATACATCCGTTCATCCTTCCAGGGCATATTGGCATTGTCATCGATATGAACGCCGTAAAATTGCTGTACGGCTTGCCCTAAGGTTTAACAAGATGATAGATACATTATTAAACGTCTCCTGGTATTGTTTATACGATAAAACTTACTATATCGACCAAAAATGGTATCCCGCATATCTTTCTCGTTACGATGCTGATTTTTTTTGGAGATAGATCTATCAGCAGCTGCAACAAGAGATGGCGCAGGCACACTGTGATTCGTGGCAGTGGTAGTGGTGGTAGACGGAATAATAGTGGTGGTGGCAGTAGTAGTCGAAGAAGAAGTTGGTGTAGCGAAAGACGGAACAGAGGCAACATTCGTATCAATGGCATTGTGTGCTATTTGCGCTGATAAGCTAAAGCATAAGTACTGAATTGTGGCAGTTTAAGTCATACAGTCTTCGGAGTACCTCGGTTATAAGTGATCATTTCATGTTGGAAATCGTCAATGAACGACCGACTGGTAAGTTCGACTTCACCATGCTGCATCAGCTTATAGAAATGGCCTCCGCCAACTAAACGTTTCAATT